AACCGACCAATCCGAATGAAATCAACACCACTGAACACTACTACGTAAATTATTTTGAGGCTATGTAAATTCCGAAATAGGTAATAAGATGCATCAGAATTGAAAGCAATTTGGACGAAGTTTCTACAAGAGCTTTAACTAACATTTGGGCAGAGAACATTAAGACTTTCAAAATATTACTAAATTAAATTAATATTTTGAGCTAGTGTGTAATAACATGGTAACCCGGATGATCTCAGTGTTACTTGCTAATGCATTACTTGCGTATTTTACATAAAGAGTTTATTACTTGTAAGCACTCGGAGAGCACAGACCTCTGTTAAGCAGCTCACTCTCCAATATATGAATGAATGAATTCACCAAAAAGAGAAACAACATTAAAATATATAAATAGTACATAAAATGAATTGAAATAATGAATACTGTAATATTTTGTTTGGTGGGGATTGCAAATATACGTTATCAAAACTAGTCTGGTTCGTAACCCCTGTATACATGATTTCATCAAATAAATCTTCAAATATCTTTTTAAGTGATGTAATGCTTACAGCGCGGTCTCCCACATATCGTCGTACATATATCCTACTGTTGACTGTACACATAAACTTTAATGTGCACTGTTTTCTGGTCATATTTCGTTGTGTAAGACGTGTTTGATGACAGCTGTTAATATAACGGTATTTTTTTGTACTGTCACTTATATTCATTTTTTTTATTGAGATGTATGGATTTCGTATATATATATCTTCTGACAAATAGAAAGAATAATATGCGCTGGTCGAGGCCCTGGCTTTGATGGTAATCGGTGGCTCTCGTCAATGTCGTTAGGTGTAATAACGATTCTGGTGGCGGCCACGACTTATCTTCATCTTGTTGGTGTGGAATGCCACGCATTAGAGGCCTTGTATAGTGTTGTAGGTTTGTATTGTATCCTTAGCAATATCCTGTATGCCGATCTCATACTCATCAAAACAATTGCTAATATAATCGACAGATTTCTGTAACTTCTTTTTCATT